GCCATTCAACGAAGCAAATATGAAACTCACATCTCAAGGTACAAATTTTACATATTTATAACCGAGAAATTTCCTGTGAGTTAGCCGGCAACCCTAGTTGACCCACAAGTTGAAACTCCATAAGGTATGGCCCTATCGCTCTTCTCCACCTCGCTTAATTATCAGGCTTCTTGTGATCGGCAAGATTTGAGCTAGTGACATGTGTCCCACCACAGATACTCAGTTGCGCATCCTTACTACTGAACCAAACCGAGAAGTGTTCAAATCTCAAGTACGATCGATGAAGCATGGGCTCAATTTCACTCCAACTACATAATTTACTCCATAACACAAGTGAAGAAAACCAAGGAAAACTACTTTCTTCATGACAAATCAATTAATCAATCAACTACACCTCATCGCAACCTAGAAAGGTATTTCAGACATTTCATGTCAACACAAACTTAAAAAGAATAAGAGAAAGAAGAACTTGCATTGAAGATAGGTGGCTAATCGAGTTCATCTTCTATCTTTTCTTCTTTATCCCTTCATGTTGAACTGTCCTTCTCCTTCTAAAAATTTACGATCCAAAACCATTTTTGAATTGGAGAGGGTTTATGATTTCAAAAGTCGGTGCAATAGCGCTCATACACGCTAGCAACTTTAGAATTACTATCTGGCGCTGCAATGTCCACAAAGGAGACGAAGAATACACTTTGGACTAATGCCATGGTGCATAAATATGATGGCATGGCACTAGACTTGTGTTTCACCATGTTGATCTTCTTTGCTTCATTGTTGCATTGGCCACAACACTGCGATGTGGGCGTCCATATTTCAAATATTTTCATATATCTTCAACTCATTATGAAGGCTCTAATTGTTCCTTTGCTTGCCAAAGATCATAAAATCAACTATAAACAACTTGAATATATCACGGACTTGACTAATCTCATAGTAAAACCTTCAAATAATCATTGGTATGCTCTAGTCCAAGTCAGCGTTCTTTCCATTTTGTTCACTATTGAGGATGTGAATTTGGACGATTGCAATTTATACTGTAGTATAGTGGGTGCCTTACAATAGTTGACCCTTCTTTGCCAGCCACTACTGTTGCAGTGAATACAACTAGTCAACTCGTGCACACTCCTAATTCTTCTCATTTTATTGCTATAAATGAACATCTTGCTTTATATTGCAAGAAATCTTAACTTTGGACTAGATTTGAAGTAGTTCTCTAGTTTTTCCTCACTGCTTATTTAGACGCTACTTCATATGGCTATCCTGATACTTGTAGGTCTACAATGTGAGTGGCTCTCTTTGATCAGAATCTTATTTCTTCCTCTTCTAAGGAGCAAGATATTGTGTCTCGCACCACACCAAGGGAAAGTTGTTTCTTTGCTTGTATCCAGTCCTCTTCGGCCCATTTCTTGTCTTTTGTCATAATGTAAGAACAACAACAACAACATACCCAGTAAAATCCCATTAGTGGGGTCTGGGGAGGGTAGGATGTACGCAAACCTTACCCCTACCCCGGAAGGGTAGAGAGGCTGTTTCCGGGAGACCCTCGGCTCAACAGGAGTATAATAATTTCAAAAAGACACGAAAGGAGAGATAGGTAACAACAAAAAAGCAAGAGAAATGATAATAATATCTTAAAATAGACCAAATAGGTGAAAGGGAGTGCAATAATAAAATCATATGCAAAATAACAAAATAGTGTGAACATAACATATACCGCTAGCAGACCTAGGCATAACTCTATCAGACTACCCTGTACAAAGAGGAAAAAACTATGAACTACCCCTAGCCTACAACCCTAATGCTCGACCTCCACGCTTTCAAATTAATCGCCATGTCCTCGGAAATCTCGAGTCGCGTCATGTCTTGCTTGATCACCTCTCCCCAATTCTTCTTAGGACGCCCTCTACCTCTTCTCGTACCTGCCAAAGCCAACCGCTCGCACCTCCTAACCGGGGAATCTATGGTTCTCCGCACGTGTCCAAACCACCTAAGCCTCGCTTCCCGCATCTTGTCGTCCACAGGAGCAACGCCCACCTTCTCCCTAATAACTTCATTCCTTATCTTATCCAGTTTAGTATGCCCGCACATCCATCTCAACATCCTCATTTCGGCTACATTCATCTTCTGGATATGTGAATTCTTAACTGGCCAACACTCAGCCCCATATAACATAGTCGGCCTAACCACCGCTCTGTAGAACTTACCTTTGAGTTTCAATGGTACCCTCTTGTCACACAGGACTCCAGATGCTAACCGCCATTTCATCCACCCCACCCTAATGCGGTGCATGACATCCCCGTCGATCTCCCCATCACCCTTGATAATAGACCCTTGGTACTTAAAACTTTCTCTCTTGGGATGACTTGTGAGTCGAGCCTCACTGCCCCGTCCGCTTCCCCCGACACACCGCTGAACTTACACTCCAGATATTCCGTCTTGGTCCTACTCAACTTGAAACCTTTGGACTCCAGAGCCTGCCTCCACACCTCCAATCTCTCATTAACACCGCTACGCGACTCATCGATCAAAATTATATCATCAGCGAACAACATTCACCATGGCACCTACCCTTGAATATGGTGTGTCAAGGCATCCATCGTCAGAGCAAATAAGAAAGGGCTAAGCGCAGATCCTTGGTGTAACCCCATAATCACCAAAAAAAGCTCGGTGTCACCTCCCGCAGTCCTGACCTGAGTCTTAGCTCCATCATACATATCCTTTATCGATTCAATGTATGCTACCGGCACCCCTTTCACTTCCAGGCACCGCCAAAGAACGTCCCTAGGGACCTGTCATACGCCTTTTCTAGGTCAATAAACACCATGTGCAAATCCCTCTTTCTCTCCCTGTATTTTTCCACCAACCTCCTTATCAGGTGGATAGCTTCCGTAGTAGAACGTCCCGGCATGAATCCGAACTGATTTTCAGAAATAGATACCGCCCTCCTCACCTTCCCTTCCACCACCCTCTCCCAAACTTTCATGGTATGGCTTAACAACTTAATGCCCCTATAATTGTTACAATTCTGGATATTGCCTTTGTTCTTAAACAGTGGAATCAACAAGCTACACCTCCACTCATCTGGCATCCTCTTCGTCTTGAAAATAACATTAAACAACCCAGTCAGCCATTCTAAGCCCGCTCTACCTACGTACCTCCAAAATTCTACTGGAATCTCGTCTGGTCCTGTCGCTTTGCCCCGACTCATCTTACCCACAGCTTTCACTACCTCCTCAACCTTGATACGCCTACAGTACCCAAAGTCACGATGACTCTCGGAGTGTCCCAACTCCCCTAGCACGATGCTACTGCTCCCCTCTTCATTCAAAAGTTCATGAAAGTACGTCTGCCATCTATGCTTAATCTGGGAGTCTTTCGTCAATACTCTGCCTTCATCGTCTTTGATACACCTCACTTGATCCAGGTCACGAGTCATTCTCTCTCTCGCTTTAGCCAACCGAAATAGCTTTTTGTCCCTACTTTTGCCCCCCAGTTCCTCATACAAACGATCAAACGCAACAGTCTTAGCATCTGTGACCGCTAATTTTGCCTCTTTCCTGGCTTCCTTGTACCTCACTCTGTTTGTTCTCCTCTGCTCCTCATCGGTACTCTCCACTAACGCAAGGTACGCCAGTTTCTTTGCTTCCACTTTACCTTGGACCACACCATTCCACCACCAGTCGCCTCGGTGCCCGCCATAGTAGCCCTTCGATACCCCTAACACCTCTCTTGCTGCCTCCCTAATACAGTTCGTCGTCGCCGTCCACATAGCGCTAGCATCCCTACTACTCTTCCAGGCACCCATAGCCAACAGCCGCCCCTCCAACTCATGCGCATTATCCTTACCCAAAGCACCCCACCTGATCTTCGGTTGACCCCGTACAAACCTCTTCTTCTTCTTTATCACGATACCAACATCCATCACCAGGAGCCTATGTTGAGTCGCGAGGGTCTCACTCGGGATCACCTTGCAATCCTGGCATACCCCCCTATCACACCTCCTGAGGAGGATATAATCAATCTGGGTCTTAGTCACCATACTCCGGAAGGTAACCAAAAGCTCCTCCCTCTTCGGGAAACTAGAGTTCGCAATCACCAACTCAAAAGCCCTAGCGAAATCCAATAGAGAAGCACCACCTACATTCCTATCCCCCAAGCCGAAGCCACTGTGCACGTCGCCATAGCCCCCAGCCGACGACCCAATATGACCATTGAAATCCCCTCTTATAAATAACTTCTCCGTTGATGGAATACCCCGCACCACCTCATCAAACCCCTCCCAGAAGCGCCTCTTAACCTCCTCCGCCAACGCGTACGCGCTAACGACATTCAGAGTGCTCCCTCCAACTACTAACTTAATCGCCATCAATCTGTCATTCACCCGCCTAACCTCAACCACTGACTCCCTAAGCTCCCTGTCCACCAAAATACCCACTCCGTTCTTGCCCTTCACGCGTCTGGAGTACCACAATTTAAACCCGTCCACATTTCTCGCCTTTGATCCTACCCACATGGTCTCCTGAACACAAGCTATATTGACCTTTCTCTTCCGGAGAATCTTCGCTAACTCTATGGACTTACCTGTTAACGTCCCTATATTCCATGATCCAATCCTCAACCTACAGGCTCCCTTGTTGCCTTTACCCCCTTTGGGCCCCGTCCCACCCCATGACGCGTGCCCTACCCCCTGCCCCACCACCCGGCCACCTCGAGGACATGACCCTACTCTGCCATTATGAACCACAACCGTTATTCCTACGTTGGTCTAGACAAAAATGCAACTACAAACAAGCAAAGCTATAAACTAGAATGTGACAAATATCCTAAACTACTACAGCAACAAATTAACTTAAACAAATAGGTGAGGGAGGTACCAATTCCCGCGGATAGAACCTGAACTTTCGACTTGCTATACTCCTGATGCTGTGGGACCCGACGTCCAGCCCTTGGGACTACGAACCAACCTGCCTGCTCTGTTGCGTTTGTTCGTACACCTCCCAACGTAACCGATCTGCTGGTTTGCTCGTACACCAGATCTGTTGCTGGCCCGACTCGCCGAAAAACAATGGCGGACCCTGTAAAACACACGAACCCCGACGTCCAACAAAGTGCAACCTGTAACAGTGGAGCGACGCCGGGAAAAGAAGAAGGGCGACAAAAATAAAGTATAAAGGAGAAGGGTAAGCACAGAGAAGGGGTTGGTGTTGACGCCGGAAACAAGAGCGGCGCCGGTGTAGCGTTGCTCGCCGGCCTAGTCCCTGCTAGGGTTAAGAAGAGGGCAGAAAGAGAGGGGGGAAGGAAAGGGGAAACGCGGGGGGAGAGATAGAGAGATAGAGAGGGGGGGAGATTGATAATGTAAGAACATGTATTTTATATAGAAACTTATATATCAATTATATAGAAAGCATCTTGTAGTTGAATTTACAAAACATGTGGCTTAGGGGTCTATTCTTGTCCATTATTTTCTGATAGGTGTCAATTTACTGATATTCTCACTAAGTACCATTCATGTCATGCTTTAGGACTCTTCCAAAGGGTATTCACTTGTGACCACGCATATGCTATGTATATGTTTATTTATAATATAATATTAGTGTAATATGACCTGTAGCTATGCCTATAAGTAAAGATGCTCTTGTAATATGCATTTGTAATTTACCGGGGATACTCTTGTCACTTAAACTTGTATTGCTCTTTTCAAGCCAAAAATTCTCAACTACAGTATGATTAAGGGATTAAGGGACGTATCACAAAAAATTTGACGTTTCCAACTAATGACCAACTGTTGGTTGCGTTGGAAAATTTGCGATAAAGGTAAAGTACATGAGGCAGCTGAACTTTAGTTTTCATTGTGGTTAGATTTGTGTTGTAGAACAATTACAAAACATAATCTTTCAAAATCACATCCTGTTTCCCGAGAACCAAAAGGAAACCAAATCAATCTCAAAATCATACTGTTTTCTAATCCAAATGCCAAAGAAACCAAAACACATATACCGCATAAGCAATGTTAAGAAGCAAAGGAAAGGCAAAGACAACCCAAGCAGAAAAGAAAAAATGGAAGTATGATACGGGAAAGGTATAATTTTGATAAAGAAGATAGAGAAAGGAGCGTACCCCTTTCTGTTTGCAGTATTCAATATCCGTCCAGCAATCCTCATTTTTCACGCGATCAGCCGGCCAATTAGGACTTGGAATGATGGCCGATATAGATGAGGTCACCACCACACGCTTAACCCCCAGCTCCTTTGACGCTGTAAGTACATTCATAGTGCCTTTGATTGCTGGCGACAGAAGTTGATTCTGTAACACCACACAACCCCAAGTAGAGAACAGAGTAGCAAATTAGTACCAAAACTCATTTAAATCAATATCAACAACAAGTAAATGAACAGTAACAGTAGGCAATACATACAGGGGTACTAAATTCATTTCTTCCAATCTGTCTAAGCCTATGGTGGCCGAATTACACAGGTTAACATTGGAGATACAGCAAAATTAGAGGGACTCAAGACCTTACCTCGGGATCTTTAACTTCATCCACAATGCAGGGGGAAGCAAGGTGGAAAACGCCGACAGCACCAGTAATGGCGGGGACAATTGAGTCGTAATTAATTAGATCAATTTGGAAAAGAAGGAGACGAGATTCAGCCCCTTCTAAGGCAAGTAAATGCTTCGTCTCTTTCTCATCATCTAAAAGATAAGATTACAAAAAGTCGAGAAATTACGAATTACTTGAACCAGAAAAAAAAAGGAAGACAAAGGGTGGGAGTTGACTGACTGAGATCTTTGACGGTGGCGTGAACAGTGTAGCCACGCTCGAGAAGGAAACGGACCAGCCATGAACCAATATAGCCGCTGCCTCCAGTAACACACACTACTTCACCTGCTCTGTTTGCCATTTCATGAATTCACAATTTCTAATGCGGAAAATGCCACAACTTGAATTACTTATCAGTTACAAGACGAAAAGAAAATGCGAAATAAGCATATGGATTCATTATCCAATGAGAAGACATTCATTTTGAGTTTTGTGCCTAGGTATGGCTATAACTTGGACACCTGGCAATACACGCACTGCATTGTTTGGATTCAGGGAAGGGAAAGTGAGATGATGAAATTTTACTTTACTTTTTCGTATATAAAAGAATTAAAAATAATAGAAAGCAAAATTGAGAAAATAAGGGAAAAGATATCTTATTGATTATTGCAGCTTTCTTCCAACATAAAAGATGCTATTAGTAGTTGCGCGGCACGAATACAAATATCAAAATATGCTTTGGATTATTTGAATTATATATGCAAATTACCTTAAAATTTAAACCTTTCAAATAGAATTTACATATAATCATTAGATATCAATTAAGAAGTATGACATAAAATTATTTCTCATATCTCGTAGTGAATAACATCTATCATTTTTTATATCTATAATAATCCAACCCCCTAATTTTAGTACTTGCATTTTATTCCCTAGTCAATATTAAAGAATACAAAGAACATTAGATTATATTGTTTTAACAAAATTCTTACTACCACTTCATATTTTACCTCAAATTTGAGTAAGTCTTATCCTTCTACATTTTGTCACGATCCAACTCCCACGACAGCGCTGTCGCGCCACCTTTTTTCCTTCCGCAGAGAAAAGCCCGGGTTTCGACATTCATGAGGTGTAATAACTCGTTTCCTTTTTGGGAATTGAGTATTTGAAGAGTCACCACCTAACGGGTTATGGTGCATTAGGGCATCTAGAGCAATTAACTCTTGGATTGGTTTGCGTTACCAGAGATTAGGGTGAGGGCTCGAAATGACCTCGATGGGAAGGTGTTAAGCACCCCTCGTGGTCCACAACTGTGGGTCCCGACCGAACTTATATTTACGAATTAGTTCATTAATAAATAAATAGTTTAATCAAATAGTTTGCAAATAGAGCACGTTGTATAACTCAAATAATAAGACAAAGATTTTGAACAAGTTGTATGCATATAAAACAAAGTTTTAAACAAAAGGAATTTTGGGAAAAGGAGGAGTCCTAGGTTGGTTAGCCTATAGGATCACCCCACACAATATCCGGTAAACACTCCTCAATAAGGGGTTACGCGTGACATTAGCGCGGAGTCATCATATCTCATATCTACCTTTCTCACCCCCTTAGTGGTCATTCAAGCGAGTGTTGGTCAGTGATCTCTATTGCGTGTTGTTACCCGTCCCTTCTTAATGGTCTTGGAGGAAATTTAGGCCCTCTACCTATAGGTAGTTCTAGACAGACCCCTAAGGTTTAAAGGAGAAAATACTAAGGCGGCACGCAAGAACAAATAGGACCTTAGCACATAAGACAGGAAATAAGCAATTAGAGGCTCAAGTTTACCTCCACAAACAATGCACATAAGCAGCACGACTCAAACACAAATAAGGGCATTTTTTAAAATAGTATCATAAAGGCATGATGTCTAAATGAATACAGAAGATAAACGGTTTATTCATTTTATAAACTCAGAAGTAATGGTCCTATCAGTTTGCCTACTGATTTTTTAAGCATGTTAAATCAGAACATTAAGTAACAGAAACAGTTTCAGAGTTGCAGGGTTTTGAAAACGCCTTATATGCTTGCCTACACGCGGAATAGTGATAACTATAATTTATATAGTAAAAACAGGGCATATTTTAAAATTGACTCCTGAATCCCCATAGGCATGCTGTCTAATGATCAATTAAGGCAGTTTTTGAAAGAATTCCTTTCAGGGAAAACAAACCACTAATTAAACTAGTTTCGAAGTGAACTAATCGTGAACTGGATTGATTTATTTAAACTAAACTGGTTTAAATCTATAGGCAGAATTTCTAGTGTTGTTCCCTATAGGCATGATATCTAATTTTTTAAAGAAAAACTGATGTTAGAAACTGGTAGGCATGACAACAAATGAAAGCACATATAAATATTTGTTATAACAAAAGTTGGATTGGATCATATTCTATAGGCATGGTATCTACTTGTGAGGTTGATTTTAAGACCTATAAACATGACTTCTATTATTGAAACCACATGAGACATATAGGCATGATTTCTAACATAGCAAAATATAAAGTCATATAGGTATGGTTTCTATTTGTGAAGTTGTTTTTAAGACCTATAAACATAATTTCTATTGGAACCGCTTGAGACCTATAGGCATGATTTCTAACATGGCAAGGCAAACATAGCAAAATATAAAGTCCTCTAGGCATGATTTCTGCCCGTATTACTCCACAAATATGTAACTACCCACCCTTTTCACTAGTTACCCCAATATTCGTTTACAAATTATTATAGACCATGTGAATGAATTACATAAATAAATAAAATAAAAAGAAGAAGTTACACTATAGGGAGCCTGAAGCAGGCCGAAGTGATTTCCCAGAACCTCCAATAGCCTCAAATGTCAGTTTCATAGACAATATCATTGTCTAGGTACGTCAGAGTTCCCTGAGGATCTCAAGGATCCCGAGCAGTGCTCACACCTAGACTTGGTAACCAAATTGAGTAAGTGCAGTGTGGAAGGGCCAGCCTCAGTGTGCCAGAGTTCATAGGATTCTCAAGAGGATCCCAAGGCAGTGCACACACAGGAGGGGGTAGAACCTAGTGACTTAGGAGTAGAGTGAGAGTGCTTGACATAGTTTGAAAGGTTTCAGTAGGAAAATAGTATTAAAAAAAGATTTGTTTGAGATGGTTTTGTATAAACACATAAGATAATTTAAAAGAAAGATTAAGGTGACTAACAATCAATCAAACCAAGTACAGAACCAGAAGAAGTTCATCGGCACTTCAATACATAGAATCAAACAGGCTCCACTTAGGGGTAAATGGGGATTTGGGGTAAGCATAGGGCACATAGTAAGAATCAGAGGAGCCTAAAAAAAGGTTAAGGCTTTTAAAGTATAGCATGAACTGTAGAGTTAATATAGAACCAATAGGCTTAGGATAGTCAATTACTTCATATAAGAAGGTGCATGCCAGGGATTAGAGAAACATAACCACATTGGGATATACTAGAAGAGGATTCTAAGTGGGTCTATAGCATGCAGTAAAGAAGACAGTGAAGTAGACATGCTAATTACAGTTTGAACAACAAAACCATAGATAAAAGCATATTAGAAACATGGCAAATTGAAGTAATAGGAGAAACATATTATTTTTGGGACTTGAATTAAACTTGGAACATACCAGTAAGGGGATAGTAAACACAAAGTGAAAAAGAACCCAGTAGTCAGCCTTGGCTTGCAGCCGATTGACTTTAGACAGTAGTAAGTGACACAAAAGAGAGCAAAAAGCTTTTTAGTGTGAAAGAGAGAGTTTTTGAACCAATGTTCGTGTGCTTGTGTCAATGAAGAGTTTGTATATATAGTAGTTCGAAATTAGGTAAAATAAGGCAAGAATCACAGTAGTATAGTAATTATGGAACCAAGTACTAATCAGAATCAAACCAATGCAAGTAATTCTTTAATTAAGGGGTAATCAACCAACAGTAATAGGCAGAAAATGTTTAAAGAAAGAAATCAAGTAGGGCATCAGGTACAAAATAGACAATTAGGGGTAAGTACATAAGGGTTCAATTAAGAAAACAACTAGTGAAGAATCAGTAAAATACTCGGTTAACCAAATAAGGTAAGAAAACAAAATAAAGTTGCAGAATATGAAAATAATCGAAAATCAACATATAGTAAATTAATGAATCAAGGACTCAAAATTACTGATTTAAGGAGAGTAACATGGGTTCCCATGAATAAGCAAATAAACCAAGTTTAAATAGGAGGATTGAAGGTCTAAATGGAAGTTTTCAAATCAAGCCGAGAAACAGGGAGCTCAGAGTCAATGAAAAAGAGAGTCATGAGTCAATGTTTTAGCATATAAATAGAGCAAGATAGGAGTAACCAAATATAGCAAGCAAAGAGGCAAGTATTGACCAGTCAAGATGAACCCCAGCACATAGAATTGATGTAAGTTAGGCATAAAACTCAGTAGAAACATATTCGAGGCAAGATAGTCACAGAAACTCAAACAAGAACAGGCCAGTCACAAAAGCAAATGAAGAAGCCTAGAAAAATTAGGGCTTTCAACATAGACGAGATAAAGAGGTAGTAAAATCACAGAATCAGTCGAAATATGCATGAAATAGAAGTTTAAACATAAAGAATCAGTTTAAACAGAGTTTTAAAAGAAGTTTCGAAACCCTAATTTTAGAATAAGGTGAAAAGCACTTGGAATCAATGATTATTGTAAAAGAGTTCCAAGGATAGTGTAAAACATCAAAGAAACACACTCAAATCATTCTAAATCTGTACAGATCTAGGAAATATAGGCAGAAATTAGGGTTTTAGAAGAAATCCATATAAAGATGAAAGAATCTGTCTAGAATCCCAAGGATCGTAACAAATATAGCATGATTTTGCTCGAAATCACACTGGAGTAGCCAAGAACAGACATGACGAACCCTAGATGTAAATCGGCGTGGCCCTGGGCCGTTGAAGACCTTAGAGAAGGCAAGCATGGCATGAGAGAAGCCATTGGAGGCTTGAGAGTCGATGAGAGATCACCGGAGAAGACATGAGAAGAGAGATCGACGGTTGAAGGGCTAGGGTTTGAGGGTGAGGAGAGGAGATGAGAGGATACAGAGACGGGGGGTTTGGGAGAATGAGTTAGGGTTAGGGGTCGTTTGGAGTTAAAAAAAGGAAAGAATTAATACGGGCCGTAGATCTCTCAGATCAATGGCCATGATTTAATTAGTTCTGAGTCAGTTAGGCGTGTTTAGGGTTTGGGTCGGGTAATTTGATTAAAAATTGGGTTGGGTTGGGTTAAAAATGGGGCTAAAATTGAAATGCAATCTGGTTATGTTTTAAATAGCCAATTTATCACTATATAATTTATAATAAATGGTAAATAATTTCTACAAAATAATTTCATGTAATAAAATGATTTAAAATAGATATTCAATATTTTAAAAATATAGAAGGTCGTTTTGTACATATAAAACGTAATTGTTCCCTAATAAGGCTAATATTGCAATTATATGCAAATTAACTTTAAAAATACAAAAATGCAATTATAAAAATGCACAAAAATATTTTAACCGTAT